CTTTTCTAAGTGCGGTACGTATTTTCCGGACCAAAACCAAGTAAAAACGCAATTGTTTAAACATTTTGTAACCATCTCAGAAACCCACTAGATCGATTTTATGGGTGCAACGACTATCAGAGGCTAAATTTATTGTGAATACAATGTACTGAACGTTGTTGAAATTGGAAGCATGTATCCTTATTAGGCCATTATTTTTACAAACTCAAGAGTGCACAATTTCTAATATAATAATATAAACGATTTATTCTTTTTGTATATTATTATGACCCGTACGTATATACTAGTGTTTAATATTATCTACATACATAAGATTACTGTTTTTTCTAAGTCAACGGATATGATGTCTACCTATTTCGATTAGTGATAAGCCTACCAAAATTTACAAACTCCAGTGTTACGTTGACGCAGTCTCGCAATGACGCCATAATAATCAGTGGCAGATTCAAGTGGGGCCGAGCCGGCACTAATTTTTTCAAAATTATTTTTTTTTAATGGAAAAAAAAACAAAGGAAAATTAGAATTAGAATTTAGGTCTGAGAGTGCCATTTCCGGCAATCTAGAGGTGCCATAATCATAAATTTTCTTACCTCAGCCCCAACCATGGTGGGGCTGAGGTGGTAGTCCAGCTACACTCTCCATCTGTAAAAGTCCCTCTCTGGGCCCAGCTCTATTTCAAATTACTGGATCCGCCACTGGATATTTTAACAATTTCGTATGGAAATAAATGTTAATTGCATTGCTTAAAATCAATTAAAAGGTTATATGCGCCAGAGCTTCCGGGGCTTCGTCCCCTGGTCCCCAACCATTGCTTGGGCCTACGGCCCAAGGCTTTATTTTTCATCTCGTCCCCCCACTTTCAGCCACGGATCGATGCCCTTGGGTCAGAGGCAGGTATTTAAACGTTTGTATGATACACTAAACATTACCTGTCGAGAGTGTTGTTCCAGTTTAGTTTTTTCTTGATTGCTTGTCGTCGGATATTACTACTACATTTAAAACATATTTTAAGGGGAATTCTTTTGTCGTCTGAGGTTCTCCTTAACATTGTCAAATTTTATCTTTAGGGACAGTATTTTTATTATGGAACTGTTTTCACCCTCTTCATTGTGTCTTATGTTCCCCATGGCAACCCTTTCACCAGGATTTTTAAAGAATGGTGAAATTTCAGAAAATGTCCTCAAAATTTTAAGGGTGGTGCACAAAATTCTAAAGGGTGGATACAAACAATTGCTATTTTATTACATAGCAAGTGACACGCTAAGTCTGTTTATTGACCTTGCATATGCATTAATATTTTTGAAGCGTGGTTCCAATATTTTAAGCATGGCGTATAATTTGCCTTTTTAATATTTTTATTTAAATTATGTGGTTTCTGTATCCTACGTGAAAAGATATTTTTATCTGCCATTAAAGATCCTAGTTAATCGTTTTTCATATTATTAA